TAATATCTCCTTTTTTATATAAAGTAAGAAAAATTCTAGCTGATACTAAGAAATATCTTAGGTTATTACTAACAATTAATAAATCTGGAATTGTTTAAATTTGGGAATGTTGCAATATTATTTTACTGAATAAATGACCACATAGGAGGCAATAGTTAATTTTCTTGTGATTTGTTTTGACCCCTCCTTGCATTGAACAGAAGATGATTCCAAAGATCCACTTAGAATACATTGGAATCTGCTTTAAAAGACCAACCTATAGAACATTTTCCAGACATAGAAGCATGGCCTTGGGTGGTTCTCATTTTGCATCAAACATATTGGATCATAAGTTTATTGGACAATGTTAAACAATGTGCAAAAGACCAAGCCTACCAATTTATCAGTGAGATAAATCCACTATTTTTACTAATATTTTTATTAATAAGGCAATTGAAAACATTTCCAAACTATGTATATGGTGAACATTTCAAAAAACAATGTGATTGATTTGGTGGAAATCTACATATAAATGAGAATGACTGGCCTTCAGGAAAACAAAAATGTTTGTTGAGTTATGTGAGCAACTAACAGCTAATGCAGCAACAGCAATCTAGAGATAATTTTCATCTTTTGGATTAATTCAGTCCTAACTTTGATAGAGGTTAGGGTTTCAAAAAACTGCCAAGCTTGTTTTCCTATTCAATTACCTTGAAGTGGCTATCATAAGTTTGCATGATCTGTGATATGTCACCTGCACCAAACACTGTTCATGATGAACCATTTTCTTCTAAGTTTAGAATTATGTAGTTTTTATTTTGTTACTTTATTATCTATCCCTTAACCCATTCACTGCTTATGACACCATTTGGCAGTGCTATGATCTGATGCCTAGTGCACATGCAGCCATTTGGCATCAGGTCAGAGCTCCCTTCGAATTTACTTAGCCAGTAATTAAAACGCAGTAGGTGTGAGTGGATGTGAAGGTACATGCAGCGAATGGGTTAATGAAAACATATTTTTTTTTACTTCAGTAATAGATAAGTAAAAGTTATTTTTATTATTCATTTAATGGCTATTGAAACAATACGAATATGCAAAATAATTATGAACATTTGATATGTATCAATATTTTGATATTTATATATCATTTTTTCGAACCATGTAGGTATATAATACATCTAATAAATGACTATCACACATAAAAACAACAAAGAACTTAAAAACGATGTTTATTTCACACTAGAGTGTGTAAATACAAGTCACAGTATAAAAATCATAACTTAATACAATCTTTGTGGAGGTCCCATAGATGATTTGACATGGAGAGACCTAACATTCTGCCAATGTTTCTTCAACAGTGAGACCAAGAAGTTGATTGAAAGATGGACATTTTGAACCAATTCATCTTGATTCATGTCCACATGACCAACAGCAACAGAAAGACAAAGTACCTGAAAAGAAAAAAAGGTATATGAGGATAAGAATAACAAATAATGGTATAGTTCTGGTATGGAAGTAGTTAGAACCTTATAATACACTTATAGTATAGATTGTTGTACAATTTTAAAGCTGTAGTTACCAAAATGTGGTAAAAACAGTAGTTATATTATACTATGATGTAGCACCATTTTTCCATACAATAAAATTTGGCATACATTTTTTTGTTGGCTTAATGGTGCAAAATAAACTAATAAGTAAAATTACCTTACTATTCTGCATTTAAATCAAAAGAACAAATGTGTAGGAGCAATCATTATTACCTACTATTTACGAAAGTACTTGGAATATTAAACAATTTCGAGAAAAAAATAGTGTAGTACAATTTCTGTCAAATATTTACCTTTTTCATTTGGAATTTGATTGTAGCTTTTACTTCATCAATTTTCTGTGTCATGGATTCCTGGTGGGAAAGAAGACCAGGGAATTTACCAGCCTTGTTCAATCCAGGACCCAACAACCTGGGAATCTGTTTGATGAGGGCTTCAGAAGCAAGGAAAGCATCATATTTCTTGGCTAGCTTCTTAACCAATTTCTTGTTTTTGTTTAATTTTTTCAAGGCTTCTACATCCATGAATGGAACATTGTTGGCGTTAGCTTCGTCACAATGTTGTTGATCTCCCAAGATACATACCTGCATCTTTGGACGAGGAATGTGCTTTAGTCTAAAAAAAAAATTATGACATCACAAAGGGAATAAATAAAAATTGCACATACTGTAAAATACAACAGAGTAAAAGGTAAAAATTAAATTATACAGAAAAATCAGAGTATACAAGAGAAAACAGAAAATATTGATTTTAACAACAGATCTTAGTTTTAATTTCAAAAAAATCCTTATGAACAAAGGATCTTAAGATGACTGGTGGGCACAAAATTATATATCAGAAGAAATATCTTTTGGATACTGTGAATATATGAATGAAGAAACTAGAGTATCAACATGAATCAAGATAATAATAGGAAGTAGACATCCCAAAAATTCAGGCATCCCATATTGCATGCTTTAACTTACCAGAACCTTAATCCTAATATGCCATGAAAATAATTGAAATGGTCGATGCTGCTAGGTAAACCTAGCAGGATCTACCCAATTATTTTAAGACCCTGGGTGCAGGTCCGCCCTTAGGGCTTCCTGAGTCAGTGCATATTTTTAGGTTAAACACTTAGCAGAATACCATCAAATAGTGGCTATTTTAACAAATGAAAAACATAACCTAAAGATATTACTGATCAGGTTACATACTTGACGGTTCCGCTGAAACGCTTGTCCTTTTGGGGATCGTAGTTCTTAAGACCGATTTGGAGTTCCACGGTTTCCAAAAAGTTCCTTTTCTTCTCCTTGGCATTTTCCAAAACTCCATTCACACACTCGTATAGAGTATCACGAGATACTTTAGACCTAAAAAGCAGATGCAAAAATATTTGTTTTAAATTGTTGTCTTTAATATATTTAATAAATTGCAGTAGTATAAACGTGGAAATAACACGGGATTAAATTGATATATTAAAATTTAACTTACGTCATTTTTATTTTTCAAGACACAACTTTCGCGGCTTGTATACGTCGAGCAAATGAAAGAGGAAAAAGGACAGTTTAATAACGAAAGAATCTGTCTCTGTCAATCTGTGTGTCAAAGTCAAAATCAATGTAGCCAAATGTTAAGTTTAGCTCATTGTCCTGTCAAAAATCTGAATTGCCAACTTATTGTTCTATTTAAGACTGACCAATCAAATTACAAAATCGTTATGTATTTATTTTTCACTAATCGGTTTTTACAATATTTTTTGAATAAAATAATATTGTATATTTTATATTTATATAAATTATCAATATATCTTTACAATGCCACAATTTTAAATCAATTAGTTCAGGATAGAATTACATTAGTCAAGTCAAGAACCTACTAGAAAGATATCTAGATTTTTCGAGAAGACATCTATTGAATACAATTTTTATTATATCTGTCAACTTCAAGGAACAAACAAAACAAGGAACTGTTTTTGTGTCTATTAGCAAATATTAATGCAAGTTTAAAATTGTAAAGACAGTCAAGAGGTGAAAATTGACAAGTATCTTGAGGATCGTGTGAAATTTAAAGTATATTTGCATGAACTCCAATAGAATGACTGGTGAACCTAACCAACAAACTCCAGCTTCAGTGTTTGGATTTGATTCCTATCCTCCACTTTTTGCCGTAAATTGGAATCAAGCAAATCCATTTACAAATACCATGGCACATCCCGATGCGACCTTACAGCAACAGTATCAAATGCTACAAAGACCAGACTCAGCAATGCCATTTTCAACTTCAAATAGTCCTCCACTGCCAAATCAGATACCAAACCAAATACCCTTTAGTAATATGCCTTTACCGGGACATATTCCCAATTCGGTACATCCTGAATATGCACATGCTTTTGGTCAACAGCTGAGTGGTTTTTCATTTGGTTCTCCAAGACCTACACAAGAGCTGGTTCAGTTCCCTTTTCAAGGTGAGAACAGTAGGTTTGGTAACCGAGAATTAGGTTGCAAGAGGAAAACAGAGTCGCCACCGTAAGTATTTCTAAATTATAAAGCAAACTTATAAGAGTTTTTTTGTGTGTATTTGTGCCAGATTTAGCCATGAAATGTCTATATATTTAATTTCACTATTTTCACCATGTACTTTTGATTTAATAAATTTCATTCCTGGCTTCCACATTTATATGTTTAGTATAACATATTTCTGCATTTAACATAAGTGAACATGTACAAAATAAGTCAGTTAATCACAATCTCCTATGTGCCTTGAGTTACTCAAGTTGTATCAGAAAATATAAACCACATATTTGGTATAATTTGTCATATCTCCCAGTGGTCTTTGTAATTTGAACAATGAAATGTACCCAAAATATATGTTTAATAGGATATTTACAGTTTATTGAATATCTTTAGGACAAAAAGTGGTTCCTATTCTTCTGCAGTGTTCAGTTGTTCAAATGTTTAATTTTTTAAACTATACCACAGTTCATTTTTTGTTTACACTGTTTTGTTCACAGTTTAAACTAAGCTAATCATTTCTAACTATTAGCATATCTAAAGTAAAGGAAAAACGAAAAAAGAATTTATGACTAACCATCTAGTGCTTTGTCAACTGAAGTCAATAATATGAGAATATTATTCTAGATTCTTCCATTCCATTTTTATATTCTAAGGGTTAAAGTGCTATGGCTTAGGAGTATTTGATCAGTCTTGGTATTGTGTTTTTTTTATTTATAGAAACAGTTAACATTTTAGATTTAGTACAATGGGTTAAAGTAAAGGGGAAGGCAAAAAGAAAGTGGTGAAGGAAAATGATTTCTTTTAATTGTGTTTCTTAGTAGTGATTATTCATATTCTGTTGGTTCTCTGTAATATAATTCTTAGAAACATAAATCACAGACAAAGGAAACCTGCTTTTTGCAACCAAGTTAGACTAAAATGAAGTTCTTGGAGTTCCAAAACAAACTATTGTATAACTTTCTGTGTAAGTCGGTTGTTACTTTGATATGATCTCACTTTAATATAAACATAAAACAAAAAAAAACATTAATAGAATTCAATAATGAATCAAACACAAACGAAAAAACAAGATCAGATGATTAGGTTGTTGCTTCTTGACATACACATTTAAGTTAAACTACACAAAGGAGGTAAAATAAAACTAAAGAGAGTAAAATAAATGAAACAGGACTACTCTTATAAACTGAAGTCAGTTTTCCACAAAACAATCAGTCAGATACTTTAAAATTGTTCATTTTGAGTTAATTTCAATTGTTTGTAGGATCAATATATTATTGAAATGTGTAGCAATCTTTCTATTTATTTATTAAATACAGGTAAGTAGTACTTCCTTTCACATTTGAGGATCACATCCCTTCTTGAGGTTTCCGTATGAGTTATATGTGATTTTTGTGGTTTTCTAGGTTTGACTCAGTGTTAAATAAATTTGGTTTTTAGAAAAAAAAAGGTCACACTTGCCATTACCAATTCACATTGGTTTCTCTTCTTCTAGATTCATTAAATATGAATTCATCAGGCCATCATCCTAAAAAGTAAGGTTACACACTAACTTGTCTCATTTGACCTTACTTTCTCATATCTTCTAAGATCTTATTGAATTCATAGATAGATCTCCCTATAGAGGTTAATTATATTGGATTTATGGTTTCCATGGGAGCTATATGGGATTTCTATGGATTTCTGGGTGAGTTTGTCTTGAATAACTTTGGTTTTTATGAAAAACCATTGTTTTGACAATATTTTGGCAAGATCTCACTTGCAATTCTTTAGCTATATTAGTTCTGCTTCTTCTAGATGTCCAAACAGAACAGATTTACTACAGATTCAACACTATACTAAAAATGTACAGTAACTCACTCTCACTCATCTCACTCTGTCCTTGTCCTTAGTTTTTCATATCTACTAAGATCTCATAGAATTTAATGATCTGTAGATGCTTATATTAAACATACATAAATTAATGAATATTAAGCCACACACACTGTTTCAAAATACTTATGTCTCGATGAATACTCATTTTATCAAAATCACATTATGTAGATATTTAGAGGCTCTTGACGAATTTGGCAATACCATAATAGCCTTCACCTCAAGGTATGTAAAATAAACTGTGATTGTGGAATAGCAAATTAAATCAACATTAACTTATATTGGGAATTAACTGCCATTGCAAGAGTGGAGATTCCCAATATAAATCAATGCTGATAACTGATTTAAAGATCAAGTAAAAAGAAATAACAGTATGTAAAAATATGGTTTGCTCATCATCTTTGGCTTGACAATCCTGTTTCTCCAAGATGTTGCAAGATTTGTATCGTCATTCTCTTCAGTTTCTGGTGACCTAGTGCCATCTTTTGATTTTTAATACCTCTAAGTCAGTTTTAACTCCATCCACCACCTAATTCGTGGTTGGTCTCTGCTTCTTATTCCTACAGGTGTCCTGTGCTTAGCTTTTTAGCAATTGTGTTATCCAGCTCATCTGATCGTATTATCCAGCTCATTTGATACCATTATGTGTTGTGCTTATCGAGCAAAAAGACAAAAGAGGGAATGTAAAGGTAGTGGGGGCAAAAATATTGTTAGACAGGAAGTGCGATCTTTAGAGGCCACATTAAACAAGGAAAGAGAGTCTCTCTCCTTGTTTGACATCAAATTTAGTTGGGTTATGTTATTGTTTGTCCCAAATGTCACATGAAATCTTATTTATATTGAAGTTTTTTAACAATTGTGTCGCATTTTAGACTATTACCATTAATAATTAATTAAAACTTTCTCGTCTAAAACACATTCTGAAAAACATTATATAGCTACTGTTAATAAGTGTAGTAAAATTTAAATTTGACGCATTCGCATTTCTGGATATGTCCGCCATCAGAGGCCACTTTTTTGGTCTCCATTTCATAAGGATTAGATTCCCTCTTTCGTCTTTTTGCTCGATGGTTGTGCCTATCTCAGACACTGTGTTGTAATAAATGTTATGACATCTAGGTCATTAAAGTGTAGAAATAATTCTTCGAAATTACATCTTTGGGGCCACTGCCCTTAGTTATTTATAGCTCCAAATATTTTGCAGAGTATTTTATGCTCGAAAATTCCCAAAACTCTCTCTCTCTTCTGCATGAGGGAATTAGTTTTGGAGTCCATACTATACTCTATTTGTAAGTTTTATTCATTTTTTAATATTGTTGATAAGAGTACACTTTGGTCTATGTGATATGCATCTATTTTTATATTGATCAGTACAGTTTCCTTTCTTTCGGCTCTCGCAACAGCTTGTATTTCTAATGCAGGTTTGTTAACCCTACGATTTTACCAAGTTCTTCTGTTAAACAGTTTATTTCAGAAGCAAGAAAGGCTTAAAATGTGCCGCAGTGATTAAAATAGATGTTATGTTTTAGATTACAACCTGCCAAACAGCACATAACTGAAGAAAAAATGGCAGAACACATGTCCAAACTTCATATAAGTTCAGAAACGGCATCTCCTAGGGAAAACGACGCCAGCCGGATGCAGCGTTTGTACATGTGTGAAGAAATGCGAAAGCTTAAAACCGATCCCATCCTTCCGCAGTCGTTATTGTCTAAAATGCAGAATCCCTGCACAGCGCTAGTGCTGTGGAAGCCACCAACTCGGTTCATTCCCGTAACCGGAAACAACGAAATAGACGAAAACGAAAATAACAATAGGGATACTGTACCTGACCACCACAACCAGGAAAGTGATGATGTAGAAGATGAAATGAGTGAGGTTTGTATGAACAATATGGATCTTGATTCTTGTTAGAAGTGTTGGGGGCTTTAGAATCATCAAAGACTGAATTAAACATATATTAGTACCATTTAATGGTCTTATCAGAAGTAAAATACATCTGTAAATGAATATTTTTTCTTATTTTGTTTTTTATTGTTGAGATTTTGAAGAACTTAAAACTATATTAGAGATTCGTCGTTTTACAATTTATTATCATTTAAGTACTGTATTTTTAAATGTCTTTACAAAAATTGTTTTTTCAATATAATAAAAAATTAAACAAAGTGATAAAAATCAAAAATATAAGAAAATCGTTATTGTCTGTGGAGCCGATTTTGTTATTTTTCTCTTTTTCCAATTCGGTACTCTCTTTTGGTGTATTCTCTATTGCTACGTCAGGACTGCACGGTATTGTTTTATTTGTCTTAAAAAATTGTCCTTAACTCTCAAATGTTATTTCCCACCATAAGTAATTTTCGATTACTTTTTATTTTATGCAATCGATTTCCCATATCCCATGTATGCACAATTTTATGCAGACTTTCCCTATGGAAGGACCTAAGTTTCCCCTTTTCAATATTATTTATTTGCTTGACAATATTTTTAACTATGCCCTTGCTTACAGTACCTCCATTTGAAAGCTGTATTTTTGACAAAAAACTAATATCTTTCCATACATTGCAGACGTTTTCACGATTTTGTGCACTTAAAACCTTATGTTTTACTAGCGACTTAAAGTCCATAGTAAATTTTGCCACAGCTTGTACCAGTATTAGAATAAAACATTTGAAGTTTGCCGGACAGTTCATTATTTCCTTTAAGTCCGTTGCACGTCATCCTTGATATTTCTACGCTGTCTCAGTACAACCAACTGTTTAGCAAACAATAATTTTAAAATCAATTCAATTTGGCTTAGGTATAGATACCATATTTCCAATAAAAGTTTATAGAAAATTTGGTATTTAACAAATAATGAATGATTTACACTAATTTTGATTTAAAATTCTTTATTGTATTTCATAAAAACCAAAATGCTGAAATATCTCACGAGTAGATGAATTTATAGTACAAATAAGGTTACATTATTTACAGAATTCTTTACATTCTCTACTATCGTTGACAACATGGCAACTCTGTGTAAAGGTCAACCTTTACACAGAGTGTCAACTTCAAAATTGGATGATGTGCACTTAACTTTACAAAATGTATGTTCGAAAAAAATGGCGGAAACTATGAAAATGATTTGATGAAAAGTCCTAAAGTCGAGCTCTGTGCGTTCCGTGTTGCGAATTTTTTCCTGATTAATCCCCAGTTAATATTTACGTACATTAACGAATTGTTCGCTTTGCTCATTTTTAAAATGTTTAACTTCTAATATTTTGTTTCCAGCATTGTTTTCACTAATATCATAACTATAAAATTTCAATAGTATAGTCGATATATAGCATTTTTCATATAAAAAAGCTTGCACGTCATTCAAGATTTACGTCGTCAGAACTCCACAGCGTTGCCAAAACATCAGAATAGTTAGTAAGTGAGGAATTTTTAAAATGTCAACTATTTGTCAAACTATTATATTAACAGTAAATACACTTAGTTTTAAGACTACTGCAACACATTAAATTACATATGAAAACATTTTAATACAAAATTATATATTCTAACTTTTAAACTTACCTCTTTTAGGGCTTTAATAGTAAAAACGTGCCGCCATTATTTCTTGTTCAAAATAATCTATCTTATATGAAAGCTTATCAGCTTTCTACATACTATTTATTTGTTTTGGCATATCACAATACACAACAATAATTAGTTTTTAAAGCTATTAATCTAAATTTAATATATATTTATAAATAAATTTATATATATATATATATATATATATATATATATATATATATATATATATATTATAATCAAATTGTGTACGAAATGAAAACATAAACAAAATTCCTACTCTAAAAAAGCGGCAACACCATTGTTTAAATAGGACTAGTTAGACAATCCTTATGGAACAAAAGTTTGACTTTTAATCCTCCGTCATGTGGCGGCCTCTAGTCATAAATTTTAAAAACTATTAACAGAAACTTAATTCACTGCAGAATTCTACTTAAGTATATTTGTAGCTGTCTGATAACTAATGCGAACCTGTACACGGATGCCAGATTGTAAAGAATATATTATAAGACTTAAATAAAATGCTTATTGCTGTTATCGTTGTATGCGTCTTATGAAAGATAACTTGACTATTTCGAGCGAATATTTCAAATTGTTTTTATACTTTGAGACTTGCTAAATATAAATCGGTCAGTAATCTATTTAAATGAAGTAGGTAAATGCTACCTTTTTTTTTAATTTTTATTAGTTTACCAGATATTAAATTTGGTTTTATGATTTGTTAGAAAAGGATTAAATATTTAATTGAAATATACTCGATTGCTATCGTCTTAGAACACTTATGAAAAGGTTTATTTTTTAGTCAAGACTTAAGTTTTATCATTGTTTAAAAAAGAAAATCTTTTTAAACAATGGTTTTATGTATGTTTTGAGAAAATTAAATTTTCAATCTTTTATTCTTTAAAATGACGATTGAAAATAGTAAATTTATGGGAATGGTTTTTTTGATAATGGTTTTGAAACAAATAAACAGATCGATATTCCACAACAAGAGGCAACACATATTTGGGGACAAATTAATCTATGTGTTGGGGTAAAAGGAATAATAATTAACAAAACTTTAATAAACAGTAGCCTTTATTTTATTTATTTATATATATATATTATAATATACTCACCATTTCTCTATTTCTGCTTCATTATCATCAATCAGTCAATCGCGTCCACTGCTGGACATAGGCCTTGACTGATTGATGATGGGCATAGGTTTTGAAACAAATCAACAGATCGATATGCCACAATAAGAGGCAACACATATTTGATGACAAATTAATCTATGTGTTGGGATAATAAAAGGAATAATAATTAACAAAACTTTAATAAATAGTAGCCTTTATTTTATTTATTTATGTATTTTATAATATACACACCATTTCTCTATTTCTGCTTACAGTAATGAGAATGTTTTTTTTAATCAACTCGCCCGATCTGAGCTGTTTATTAATGAAATAATTTTAAATTACAAAGTGATAGGTATTGCAAAAATTAAATTCGCATTATTTTAATAGTTATATAAAACTATAAGGTTTATAACACATAACAATTCAAGGTAAAAAAACAAAACAAAATTGTTTACATTAATAGTTATAGAAATTAATTGTAACATTGTTTTCATGAACTAAAATAAGCAATGTATGAGTTGGATATATGTATGAATCAGCAATACTAATTTAAAAATAATAGATCGTGTACAATATAGATACGTAAGAATCTGTTTAACTGTAATGGTATCAACTTCAACAAACGTTATGCTAGCAAAGTGCAATGAAACCCATTAGAATTGCATAGACACCTATTAGCACAAAAATACTGTATAAAGATGAGAAACACTTAGTCAGACCTTTTAACAAAAGTGTAAGATAATTATGAAATCTTTTTTCCTGACCAATGGTAATAACGGCATATCTATAAGATCATCAACAAAATCCTCAAGTTCAGAATTATCACTCTGCGAAACAGTATTGGCACTAGTTGATGGTTGTTTTGCTATCGAATATGTATGTAAAACGCGTAGTGTCGTTAACGAACCTTCCTCTTCTACCTCACTATATTTTTTTGGTATAGCAGTAGCGGGTAAATATTTTGCATTTAGATATTTTTGGTCAAAATGCTTACTGCATAGAAATTTTTATTTCGCTCGGGTAGCTCCAGACTTTCCAATACAGCATTACCTACAACAATATTATTATTAACACAACTAAAAAATAACCAACTTTCTGCACAAAAAAGTAAAAAAAAAAACAATTTAAGTTCTGTAGTCAAAATATAAATAATTTGGCAGTTGCGGTATGCCAATATATTATGTTTATCCACGAAGGAAGCTAAGCTACCTGAGAAAAGGAATGCCAAACGTGTGTTAATGCGGGTTAATAGTAAAAGAAAGGTAGAAAGTATCGGCATCACTCGCAGCAAAGGAAAAAATATAAATATGTGTATAATATGATCCTTTCGCAAGTTAATATGCTCCATTTCTAACTTTGCTGCGCGGTACTAAAGACGACCAATAGTCAGAAATACATATATATGGTTGCCTTATATCTTATATATATATATATATATAATATATATATATATATATATATATATAATATATATATATATATATATAGTATATATAATATATAAATATATATATATATATAACATATACATTTCAAATGTGGGTTCATAGACGAATGCTGTAGATATCTTGGGCAGCAAGAAAAACTAATGAAGAAGTACTAAGGAGCGTCAACAAAGACAGAGAACTGCTAGAGACTGTTAAACATCGAAAAATGTCTTATCTGGGACATATAGTAAGGGGAAGTCGATATAAAATTTTACAACTGATCCTTAAAGGCAAAATAGAGGGCCGTAGAGGTGTAGGAAGAAAACAAGTTTCTTGGTTAAAAAACATTCGTGAATGGACTCAGATACCAAATGCAGGACAATTATTCAACGTCGAATAGTTCTGATATGGCACGGCTGATATGGTTCTATATATATATATATATATATAATATATATATATATATATATATATATATATAATATATTATATAAGTATGTATGTATTCCCAATGAAAACAACAGATAATACCAACCAAAAAATAATGCTACAATTTTTTTGGATTTTTGTTCTGTATTGTTATGTCGAAAATTTATTTACACAAAGTACCTATGCCCATTGGTACAGGAACAATAATATTAAATATAGAATAAATAATGAGAACAAATAATAATTATATCACTTTAACTAATGTCCATTAGGTTAAATCTTGTGGTAAAGTTTAGCGGTTTTTAGAAACTATCTAGTTTTTGTTATGTCTGTATGGTTGTTAAGCAGTTCCTTAGAGTATGTTTCAAGTCCAGTGCTTAATACCGGTTGGTTAATTGTTTGGAGTCGGTAAGTTTGGTGTGATTGATTCGTAGTCTTCTAATAGTCAACGCTTCTCTTCTAGTTAGGAAGTCCAGGGAGAGATGACCAATAAAAGATTGAAGTTTATGAAGAGCTTGTTTTGCTTTTTTGCTATAAGATTTGTCAGGTATCATCTACTGACTTTTTGAAAACGAATTTCAAGATTCGTTAGCTAGTTGAATTGGAGTGACTTCAGTCACCCCATGGTTGGTAGCTTCTTTGGCAAAATGATCTGCTGTTTTATTACCAGTAATTACGGTGTAAGAAGGCAGCCATATGAGAGAGACTGTTACATCGTAAGTACAGAGATTTTGGTATATGTCAAGAATGTTTTGAACTAATAGGTGGTCAGTGAATACCTGTGCAATCGTTGCATGTTAAGTGTAACCGAGATGATCTTACAAGTTCATTTTTAGTGGTTACTGCACGACCAATACCAGTGGTAGCTTTAGAAGCATCTGTATAGAGAATTAATTTCTAAAAATGCTTTCTTTATAAGAAGGTTAGAAGATTCAAGTTTGTTAAAAATGGTGAGTGAGGTATATATTGAAGGGAAATATTTAGCCCAGTGGGGAAGTAAAGGTACAGGAAATGAACTGGTCAGAAGGAAGTCAATATTTTTAAGTAGTGGAGAAATTAATTGAGGTATAGGTTTTATGATAAGGTGTTGGTTATTGTTGGTGGAAGAATACGGCATTGCGGCAATTGGGGAATGGCCGGGATTAAAGGGATTTACGGATGTTGATGCAGCATACGAAAGTAGAGTAGATTATCGTCTTAGGGTAGGTGAAACTTCATTAGATTCATGGTATATACTCTCAATAGAACTAAAGCGAAAAGCGCCTAGACCTAGAAGTAGTTTCATCGGCACCTCATTGAAGATGACTGAGGGTTTTAAAAATGTTCAACCTTTTAAAACAATTTGTTTAGAGATTTTATTCTTTAAATTTAATTTGGAGTCAAACATAAAACCTAGAATTTTACATTAATTAACAACAGAAAGTGGAGAATTGTTAAATAAAATTTGGGGTAATGGAGTGAAAATCCTCTGGAAAATTTTATTACTGTGGTTTTGCTCTGAGAGAGTGATAATCCTAGTTCGTTAGATCTATTTTGAAGTAGATTTACTGCACTTTGTATAAGTTTATATGAGGTAGGGATAGATTTAACATGGCTGTAAATGATTAGGTCATCAGCGTGTTGAACAAATTTGATGGGAGGTAAATAGAGTTATGCAGATTCTAAAGGGACACCTTAATTTTGAGGAAGAGAATAAAAAAGTTTACCATTGGAAAGACTAAGATTCTTCCAGTTAGATAGTTTTTTACAAATGAGAAAATATTAATATCTACATTATAGTGGGAGAGTTTGTCAATGATTGCTTTTCTGGAGATGGAATAAAATGCCTCTTCAACGTTAAATATAGTTGCTACGACATCTTGTTGATTATAGATGCTTAAGAAATGTGTGTTTAAAAAATAAAAAGGTTATCAATAGTAGACCGACTACGTCGGAAGCTGGATTGAGCGTCGGGAATAATATACTGTGTAACGAACCAAGTGAGAATTTTATTGATCATTGTTTTAAGAAGTTTGCAGGTGGTACAAGTAAGAGAAATCAGACGAAAAGATATTGGAGTTATAGAGGGTTGGTCAGGTTTTTTAATTGGAATGATTATATAATTGCGCCAAACATCTGGAAATATTTGTGTGTTTCAGATAAGGTTATATATTTCAAGATGTTTGGAGAGAGATGTATTGGAGATTTTTTAAAAATATATAAGGGATATCATCGGGATCATCAGCAGATTTTGTACATGAAAATAAGGTAAATTTTAGTTTATTTAGGGTAAAAGTGGCGTTTATAAACGTGACATCGTGTGGAGTTGACGAGATGGTGGAGAAAGATTGAGTACGTAAAGAACTGGGAGTGAAAGCCATATTACTTTTATTGAATCTGTCTTCAACCCAATTAGCGAATGTGTCGGAACTGAATTGACTCTCAGAGATAACTGTGTTGTTGAAGATGATAGGAGGAATAGTTAGGATATAGGAATAAAGGATGAATAAACTTATAGGATGAAGGTGAGTTTTATTGCCTTGGATTTGTGAAACAGTTTTTTTTCATAAATAAGTGAAGTTTGCATTGTGTGTTAGGGCAAGATCTTTCATTAACGCTTGTCAGCGGTATGTCAGTGGTAAATTTACTGGATTTATTTAGAGGGTCGTTGGTGCTCAAGGAATTTTCGAGAAATTTTTCGAGATAATTCTAGAAAACCCAAATTTTTGTGTTTTTATAGGATTTGAGTGCAGTTTTTAGTTCGAAATATTATAGGAGAGTTCGGATAATTGGTATCTTGTGAAACTGTGGATGAATAAGGAAAGGATGAAGAAAGAAACGAGTATATATGGTTAGGTTCAGAGGGGGATAAAGTTTATTTAAAAGCCCTATACTACAAGAGAACTCCTATCCCATAGGGCTTTTAAATAAACTCATTTTTGGTACTACTTTTCCGTTGCAATTTTCTGAGAACCAAAATTTTCATAATAATGAGGTCCAACAACTGACATCGACATTGACACACAACACATCAGAGCTACCACAATCTAAAATAACGTATGGTTGCCTACCCTATATTCCAGTCCTAACCCCTAAGATAATGAACATTTTCAAAAATGTTAGTGGATTAAAAATTGCAACTAAAACTGTGAAAACGGTATCGAAGTTGTACACAAAGACAAAGGATCCTTTCACAATACAGGAATCATCGAATGTTGTTTATTCTATACCGTGTGCTAATTGCAAAAACGTGTACATTGGTGAAACATCTCGTAATTTTCACAGTAGGGTGATCTCACATCGCAGCGACATAAAAACCAAAAAAATTAACGCATGCTCGTTGGCAGAATATGCGTTAAGTTTAAAACATGAATTTAATTTCGAGGATTCCTGTATTCTGGCAAGGGAAAATAACCATTCTAAACGTGTTTTCTTGGAAATGTGTTTAATAAAGTCCAGTGCGTCTTGTATAAATAAGAAGTCCGACATAGACAAAGTGAGTAACATTTATTGTTATTTACTAACTTAACATCAAAAATGACACAAAGACTTACTTGTACATATACACACCATAATACACCTGCATGCTAAACAGGTTGCATACCATCAACACAGGTTTAATACATAACCTTCTATTAATAACATATGAAGAACTCCTAATGAATTTTTAATCATACTATTTTTATTTTTGTTTTTTTTTATTCTCTATGGGTAAGTTAAAACACACCAAGAAGATGTAGAAAACGAATTTTTAGAACTTTTATTATTTTAAACTAAATTTTAAAATGTATTGTATCCATTATTGTATAAGTTATAGTTTATATGTTTGTTATTAATGTTGAGTGTCATAGCTTCTTACAAATAATCTCAACGACTAGTAAGTACACTGACATTTTGTGATATATTGTAAATATTTACACATTTTTCTAATTACAGTGTCTTGATAAAGGAATTAAACAATTCCGAAAGCTAGACCAAAAGTCAAAAGAGTGTTTCTGTAACATCCCGGCCAAACTTCTGACTGCAGCCCCAATAAACTTTGTTGTTTATAATATATATATATATATATATATATATATATATATATATATATATATATATATATATATACTCTTGTAAGTCGGAGGTAGGCTGTTCTACTTTTTTAAGATTCTAGTGACACGGTTTAAAAAATACGGGTTAAAGGATCTAGTAATCTTTTCCTTCTACCTGCAAGTACCTGTAGAGCTGCAATAAGTCCTTTTGAATACCATCTATGTTGGAGGA